TCTTAGTCTTGTTATTCATCGTCGGTTTTTACTTCACAGGTAGTATAGATAGAACAATGTCATCGTCTTGGGATCAAACGACTTTTTCACTTAGTCCTAGAAGTAAAGGATGTTATTTAATTACTGATGAAATCTTAAGAAATATTCCACAAATTAAAGATTATCAAATTGGTATGGTCAATTTATTTTTACAACATACAAGTGCTGGTTTAACTCTCAATGAGAATTATGATCCTGATGTAAGAAAAGATATGACAAGTTCATTAGATAGAATGGTTCCAGAAGGTGATTTTTATATTCATTCAGATGAAGGACCTGATGATATGCCTGGTCATGTCAAAAGTTCAACTGTTGGAGTAAATTTAAACATTCCTATAACGAATGGTAGATTGGCTGTTGGTACTTGGCAAGGAATTTGGTTATGTGAATTTAGAACTTATAAACATACAAGAAGAATTGTTGCTACAATTAATGGACAAAAGAGAAAATAGAAGACTCTATATTTTTAATACTACACATCTAGTTTGATTTTTCATATTCATCTATAGAATATTGTCGTAAGATATCTGTTTGATGTTTCTTAAGAAGCTCAATCCTCTCTTCGAGAGTACTTATCCTTTTTGAAAGTTCGTCATATTCAAGATTCCACCAACCATTATGACGCGAGCACTTCCTTCTATCGATTATACATAATGCATTCATGAAACGATCAGGATCACCACCATCTTTATCTTCTTCTTCAGGTGTCTCGGCATCCAGCTCATCATCATTGTCAAATAATCTTCTCCTGATCACATTCTGAAACTTTTCAAATAGTTCATCCTGTTCAACTAATTGATTTACTAGCGATTTACCTTCATCAATTGACCTATCACAATAACATAAATCTATCTTATCCTTTCTCAGTTTATTTGATTTCTTTGACTTCTTTTTTAGACTGCTTTCTTGTACACTTTCAGGATAAAGTAATGACACTAGTTTTTCATTAAGCAATTTAATATTCTCCTTGATTTTAACTAATTGATCCATCTGTTTCTTCTGTTGATCAATGTCAGTTGTAACTTTCTCTGATCTCTTGCTCAAATTTTGTAACCTCATCTTAACGTCAGTGGGAAATGAATCTAGATCTAATTCATCCTTTAAATATTGCTTAACGACTTCCAACTCAGGAAATTTATTCCCCAAACTAACCAACTTATCATGATCTTCATTGACATAATCAATTACATCCTTAACTACTCCATTCTCCAAATCCTGAACTGATCGTTTGTTGTTCCCTCCTAATACCATCAGACGAATAAATTCCTTCGCATGCTCATCTGAACAATACTTTGATTCATTCCGAATAGGTTCATAACAACCCTCTACTCTGCATTTCCTTTTCCATAAAGTTTTCCCGTTTCCTTTCCAACTACAAAATTTACAATAAAACTTAGCAATCAAATGAGAAAGTTCAGGATTTACATTCATGCATTTAAAATGAAACCATTCTTCACATCCATCACATGCAACCATTATCTCACCAATATCTGGTTTTCTACATATACAGAATAACTCTTCACTATTTAAATCATATTTTGGAGCATTGGTGAATTTTTTGAATTGCTTGGCTAATTCTTCATCGGTTTCTTTCTCGAGTAGTTCTAATGTCGGTGAGGTCAGTTTGAATTTTTTGGAAGTTAAGGAAGTGGTGGAGATTGGACTTCTTCGTTTATGAGGTAGTTCATATTCTGGAGATGATTGCTTATCTATATCATTCATATTCGGTCGTACTGGGTAAAGGAATAGTCAGTGGTTCTGGAATTTGATCTTTAATTTTTCGCGCTTCTTCTAACTCTCGTATAAATCGCGTTGGTTTTGAATCTAGATTGATTGGTAAAAACTTTACAGCAATGCAAATGATATAAGCTAAATGAATGAGCCTTGTCCTATCTGTTCCAAACCGTTCCCACTGAGTCTATTGGAACGTCATGTGAATATTTGTTTAGACACACAGGAAGAAATTAAAGCAACCCAAGCAAATTCAAGTACTGACGCGGTTGAAATAATTGATGTCAAGAAACGAGATGCATTTTCAGCATTAGGTCTAAAAGCAGATTCTTCGCTGAAGAAGAAACCAAAGACTGAAACAAAGAAGAATAGCCTTGCTGCTATACTTATTCAAGAACGACGACTTCAGAATGAACTTAAAAAGAAATCAAATGAGTCAAATGGTAGTCAAGAGATATCTTTGGAAGATCAATTTAAATCAATTAGTCAAGATGCCCAAGCTCATATCAAAGAAGAAAAGATAGAAGAGGTAGTAGCAACTCCTCCAAGAACTTCAGAAATCCTTGCAAGAAGTCAAGAAGTCAATGAACTCAAACGACAAGCTTCAATACCTTTGGCCCATCGACTTCGACCCAAGACATTGGATGATTTCTACGGTCAAGAAAAATTACTTGGTAAGAATGGTCCATTACGTACAATAATAGAAGGGGATCATATACCGTCATTCTTACTTTGGGGAGCTCCTGGAATTGGAAAGACTACCATTGCGAGAATAATTGCCAAATCAACGAGTTGTAAATTTGTGGAACTTTCAGGAGCAGAATCAAATTCGAAACAATTAAGACAAATTTTTACCCAAGCTGCAAATCATAAGAGTTTAACCGGACAGCTGACTATTTTATTCCTTGATGAGATACATAGATTTAATAAAGCGGTCCAAGATTTATTATTACCAGTGATGGAGAAGGGGGTTGTGACTGTAATTGGGGCAACTACGGAAAATCCTTCGTTTACGTTAAACAATGCTTTATTATCCAGAATGCATACATTTGTAATGGAGCCTTTGAATCGAGAATCTATGTTGAAGATCCTTAGTCGAGCTTTGTATGAAGTCAATAAAATTAGAAAAATGGTTTATGAGTTACATTATATATCATTACTGAAGGATGCGTTTAATTATATTGCGGATTTAAGTATGGGTGATTCAAGAATTGCTTTAAATATTCTTGAATCAGTAAACGCCCATCTCTCAACTGAGAAGTTCACCAGAAATGACAACAATCCAAAGGAAGGAAACACTCAAGAGACCAAAAACAAACAAGGAGTCATCAAAATAACTTCAGAAATGCTAAAACAGCTATTCAAAACGAAAAATTTCCACCAAATGTATGACCGAAATGGAGAATCTCATTATGATATCATAAGTGCCTTTCACAAATCAGTCCGAGGATCTGACCCCGATGCAGCCATGTTTTACCTAGTCAAAATGTTATCAGGAGGAGAAGATCCTTTATTCATCATGCGAAGAATGATAGTCATCGCATCCGAAGATATCGGACTTCGTGATAGTTCATGTCTTCCATTTGTAGTCGCAGCCAAAGAAGCACTTGAATTTGTTGGGATGCCAGAAGGTGAGATCATATTGGCTCATGTGACTAATAAATTAGCGCGAGCACCTAAATCTACGAAATCTTATAGATCACTTCGTACTGCACAGAAATTAATTCTGGAAGAGCCAGAGGTGTTAAAGCTTCCCGTTCCGTTACATTTACGTAATGCTCCGACAAAATTGATGAAGGAGTTGGGATATGGGGAGAAATATAAGTATAATCCTGGATTTGAGCATGGGATTGTAAAACAGAGTTATTTTCCTGATGGAATGGAACCAGTTAAGTTCTTGGAGGATATGCATCTCGGATGTGTCAAAGATCCACAGGTTGGTGAAGATGAATATGAAGATGCAAAAAAGGCAGAAGAAGATTATAAGAACTTTAAGGCAAGTTATCGAGAGAAGCTACGTGAAGACTACAAGACAAAGAAACAAGTTGATTGTGAAAATCCAACAGATGAAGATATTGGTGAAGGAAGTAGTTTTGCATATGATGAGTTTTTAAGTAAAGAAGATCAACCTCAATATTCTGAAGATCCTGATTGTACTGATAATTTTGGTAAATCTTATGATGAATTTTTAGAACCAGATTCTCAAGCTGATTTATACGAAGATAGCAATTCTCCAGATAATATAGATTAATAATACGTACCATAAACTTGCTTCTATGAACGCCTCATTAAAACAGCAAATTTGCTTTTGTAGCAACCTTGCGTTCCTCAACCCCCTAACTTTCTTCACTTACAGAAACGCGCATTTAAATACCCCCCAGAAAATTCATTTTCTTTACAAGTTTTCACACTTTCTATCTTTCTTCCTTTCTTAAAGGACTAACAATTGTTAAACACTGAATACAAGGAAACAATGTGCGGACGATTTGCCTTTGGCGTAGTACGTAAAAATGATTAGTAAAAATGCCAAGTGTAGTATAAGCATTGCTAACATCTCTTAGAACTTGAATGAATTACCTAACGACTTTGGAAACGCGGTAGTTTCAGGGGCTGAACCACAAGAAACCAATGATCTATTATTTGAATATACAATTGGAGAAGATGGACAAAATAGACATATCCAATACGATATATCAAAAGCCACTGGTCTTGATCCTTCCTATAATATCGCTCCTACAAACCCAGCATTGATACTATATATGGTTGAATCTCCAGAAGGAGTTGATGAGACATATGTACTTGAAAAGCTGAAATTCGGCCTTGTTCCATCATGGGCCAAACCCAAAGACCCTATTCCAGTCAGACAGGGACAGGATAACGAAGGTGAAAAGTATTCGCGTGAAATATCGAGATATGCGAGTAGATTTTTCAATTGTAGACGGGAATCATTAAAAGAAAAGGCACCTCAATGGAATGCGAGTAAGAAACATAGATGTGTGATTCCAATTACGGGATATTTCGAATGGTTGAAAGCAAAATCATCAAAGACTCCTTATTATGTTCATGCTACTAATGAAAAGATCATATATCTTGCTGGAATGTACTCACACAATTTCAATTATAATGAGATTAAGAATAATAAAGACTACTTATCTTCTTTTACGATTATTACTGCCCCTGCAGTTAAGACTGATACTAATGATGTTTCATGGTTACATGATAGAAAACCAGTTATTCTTACCCCTCGTTCAAAGGAATGGTTTGCGTGGTTGGATCCAAATAAAGAATGGGATGATTCGTTAATTGATTTTGCATTGAATTCAACGACTAATGCAGGAAGTATTAAGATTGAAGGATATCAAGTTTCGGATGATGTTGGAAAACCCATGAATAAGGGAGAGGAAAATATTAAGAGAGTTAAAGCAAAACCTTCAATTAGTGAATTTTTTAAGAAGAGACTGAATAAAGCTGAAATGAAATTGGAAGAGCGTGGCGTCAAGGAAGAGGAGCCAAGTGGCAGTGGTATTAAGAAAGAAGAATCGGATGAAAAAGATATCAAAAAAGAAGAAGGCGCGGATGACAGCGGTGTCAAGAAAGAAGAAGAAGAAGCACCTATCCGAAGTGTTAAGAAAGACTTAGATGATAGCGGCATCAAACGCGAAGAAGATGACGGGCATGTTAAAGTCGGGGACGCGGATATTAAGAAACAAATCTATGATCGAGTTCTTCAGTTGAAGACCATGGACCAACAGGGTAAGAAATCAAAAGGAGATAACGTAGTAGACGAGATAGGTGAAGCAGTACAAATTCTGAACGAGGAAGCTGCCAAATTTGAAGATGAAGTTCAAGAGAGGGAACCCTCAGAAGAAGAGAAAGGAGAAGAAGCACCTATCAGAAGCATCAAGAAAGACATAGATGATAGCGACATCAAGAATGAACAAGGTGAAGGTCATGTTAAACTTGGTGACATGGACATTGAAAAGGAAGCCTATCAGGGAGGTTTTAGGTTAAAGGTCAAAGAAGGTAGGAAATCAAATGTAGTAGACGAAATAAAGGAAGCAGTGCCAATTCTGAACGAGGAAGCAGCAAACTTTGAAGATGAGATTCAACAAAGGGAAACAACGGAGGATGTACAGGAAGAAGAAGAACCAAGAGAAGAACAAGAGGAAGAAGAAGACGATGTAGGTGAAGAAAATGCTGGGGAATTAGAAGCAGAGGAAGGTGAAGATTACGAAAATGATGAAATAGATCAAGAAGAGATGGAAGCCGAGGAATTTGACGAAGGTAATGAGAACCCCGATAAGGAAGTTGTTGAAGAAGAGGAGGTAAAGGATCTTGTTGACGAAGCTACTAGTGGTTACGACAGTAATGAAGAAGTGGAGCAAGAAGAGTTGCCAATGAAGAGAAGTAAACAGGGAGGAGAGGAAAATCGACAACGAAAGAAATCGAAGAGTAAAGCTACACCCAGAGTAGCAGTAAATCCTCGTCCTTCACGCAAGGCAAAGACTCTTGCTAATGAACGGGTCAAAGCTGAAATTCCGTTTATTTAGGATACGTATTTCTTATGTATAGCCATTGTTTTAATTCTATCAGACTGTTTTTCTTTGTTAACATAAGATTACAAACTCTCTCTAGTTCGAGATAGCAGTATAGGATGCCTTAGTGAATATCTTGGAAAGGTAGTGTTTCTTTGCACAAAAATCACCCGCTACCAAATGCCGTGTTAAAATTTTTTTTTTCACTTACCAAGTTCAATTTGAACATCCAATAGGAGAAAGTCAAAGAACAGCTGCTATTTGAATCAAGAAGGGAAAGAATATGAACAGATTCAGAGGTGCCAGTAGAGCCGTACAGGCCATTCGTTTCAGTTCTTCCAGCGCTTCAGAAGAAGCCCTTTATCTTAATCCTCACGCATGGCAAGGATTACCAGCTGATCAAATTTTTGAATTACAAAAATTAAGAAAGAAATATATGGGAACTGCTTATAGTCCTAACGATGAAGAAAGAAAGGCAGTTTTATCTACAATTTCTGCTTTAGCCAACAATCCAAAGATTGGATATGCGTTTGAAATTGATAATTTCAAAGAAAGATTCATGAATAACACTCCAATGAAAGAAAGAGGACTTCCAGCAAAACTTTCTAATCAATATGTTATAGGTAAAGGTGCTACTCCACATGAAAAGAGAAGAATTGAACATCTTAATAGAGTATGTGCCTATGAAATGCCATTGTTAGTTAAGTATCGTCAACCTTATGTTCCAAAACCAAAAACTGAAACACCATTAAAATTGACTTATCATACTGATTTTGGTAAAGAAACAAGTAATAAATTTAATCGTAAAGTTATTCTTGAGGTTTCGGTTGATAATTTGAAGTTAGATGCTAAACAATTACATAAATTTAAAGTTTTAGCTGATGAGAAATACAATAGTGAAACTAATATTTTCACCATGGAATCTAATCAATATCGTGAAGCAGCTCAAAATGTCAATTGGCTAGTTGATACTTTTAATAAGTTATTAGTTGAAGCTAAAGATTTAAGCAAAGAAGATTTTGCTGATGTTCCAGAAAAGAAGACCAAGACTAAACAAACTAAGACTCTAATTAAGCAAAGTAAGACTGGAATAGCCGATTTCCCAAAGGAATGGAAAAGACCTCAAGATGCTCCAATTAAAAAACATGCAGTTGTGAACAAGTTAGTTGATGCTTTGAAAAAGAAGGGTGATCAACAATTTATTAACAAAATAAGACCATAAGTAGATTAGTCTCATGTATCTATCTCTTGTACATATATATATACACGCTACAATAGTATTTAATCATTGATTTCACAATTGCCCTGGCATATAATATGCAAATGTCGCGACAGAGCCAATAGTCGTAAAATCCTGAAAATGGAAAAGCGCAACTTTCAAAAAAAAAAAGAATAAACAGATCTGAACAATTTAATCATTAGGATTTACATAAAGATAGATAGATAGAGGCAGAGAGAAAGAATAAGAAAATGAGTGAAGCGCATCTGGCATCAACCATTTTAGATGACATCATCAATGAACTTAAACTTACGTATGATTCATCTGTTGGATTACTTGATGGTGATACAATTAGAACAATACCAAATGTTAATACTTTACTTAATTTAAATAAATTATTAAAGAATTTATATCGCGAATTAAATGAAATTGAACAAATAGATGATGGCTTACTAAATTCCATTAAATCACTTATAGACAGCCAACAAGAGAATGAGATTAAAAATGAAGCTTCACCCGAAACTGAACAGATCAAAACAGAAGAGACGAGGAAACGGAAAAGAGAAGGAGTTGAAGAAGAAGAAGGAGAAGGACAGGAAGAACGAATAGACGAGACCGAAGAATCAATCAATTTGGCCAAACGAAGAAAGTTAAGTTCAGGAGCAGTTGCCGAAGAAGAAGAAGAAGACCAAGAAGTTGTAGAAAAGTCGCAGCAACAGCAACAAGAAGAAGTTAAGAAAGATGAGGACGAAGAAAAGGAAAGAATCAATTCAAAGGACGATGTAGTACCGCCTGTTCAAACAGGATCATTCACCCACGATAACGATCTAAGGTTGAAAAACCCCAAAGCGGAGTTTGTTGAATCCCAAACTTTATCAGCAGAAGCTATATCCGAACTAGGACTCTTCTCAGAAGATAAAAATGGATTAGAAACTCAAGGTAAAGAATATTTGAAGAAAAAATATGGAGTAGCTTCATATCCTGAAAGAGACTTACAAGAATTACTTGCTGGTGAAATTCCAAATATAGATTTTTCCAAAAATAAACCGCCAACTAATCAAGTCCAATTTTCAACTTTTCAAACATATATTGAATCATATTTTAGACCATATCTGAGTGAAGATATTGAATTTCTTCGTGAAAGAAATATTGTCCCCCCAGGATTCGAAAAACAAGATTATGATGCTGATTTAACCCCGTTCTTAATACCTAAACTAGGTAGATTTTATGCAGATGTATGGGCAGAAGAAGATTCTACCATTTCTTCAAAACTTAATTCTCCAGCTTTTCAGCAACCTTTATCAGATTCATATAAACCAAAGGGGGATATCGAGGAGTTGACCGACGATACATTATACACAGAAGAAATCTCCTGCGGTCCACTTTCTAGTAGATTATTATCGGCGATTTTGAGTACCCATGAAGGAGCAGAGGAAGACGACGAAGAAAATGGTGAAATAAAGAAAGAGAATACGGCTGAAAAGATTGATGAAGACGATGTGGAGGAACATATAGCAACCCAGCTTAATAGCACGGAGGATTATAAGCTGGCATCGGAAATAAGTGATTTCCATTCGGTTGAAGAAAGATTAAAGAGGGAGCTTAAGTATATTGGTATATTTATGAACTTGCCATTAACGACCGAGGATGGAAAAGTAAAAACTAAACAAGGTGGAAGAATACCCAAAAAATCAGCGGCTAGTATTATTGATAATGATGAATGGGTAAAGAATAAAGAAGATGACGAAGTTTGTGCTGAAATACGATCTTTACAACAAGAACTTAAACATACCGTGAATAGAAACCGAGCCAATCGGAAGAAACTCATACCTTTGGTAGAAGAACATATCGCGTATCAAGAATATTGTGCTATATTGGAAGATTTAGATAAACAAGTTGATCAAGCATATATGAAACGTATGAAAGGTAAGCATAAAAAGAAAAAGGCTGAAACTACGACTCCTCAACAACAAGCACTTAATAATGGTTTAAGAATATTATTGGAAAAGAGAAAGAGATGGATTGAAAATATTGGAAAACTTTTCCCACCTCAAGAAGTTATGAAGAGAGTACCTAAAGAATCTATTTTGGTGAAAGAAGGAGAAGAGGAACCCGAACCAGCAGAAGATGACAATACCGATAATGTATCTACGGCTGTTGAAATAATTCAAAAATCTTAATAGAGTTTTTGTGTGTATGATTTTCTATATACAAAATAATAAAATGTAGAATTCTTTACATGGACATCCCTTCTGAAATTTGGGCAAGGGAAGGTAAAGTCATTACATTTCCTAAAGCAGCAACTGCAATAGGAGCACCTTCAAGTCTATACTTAGCCCAATTTACCACGTCTTGCTTAGTTATACAATCAACTCTATCAAAGACTTCTTCAGGACTTAATCGGATTCCAGTATTGACTAATTGTCTACCAATATCTTCAGCAAGTACTGTTGAATCATCCAATGCTAACACAAATCCAGCTTTACATTGAGCCTTTGCTCTTTCAACTGCAGCTTCTGAAAAATCTCCATTTCTTAATCTTGCCCATTCTTTTTGTATTTCTTCTACAATAAGACTCAAATCCATATCTGCTTCAGCTACGAAATAAACTCCCATTAACCCAGTGTCAGCATAGGAAGTAGTATATGCCATGTAAGAATTTGCAATTGGTGTATTCCCTGGACCTCTAGTTGCTACAGCAACAGCTAATGGCGATGGAGAATCTTTACCTGATCCCATAGATCTATCCCACGCCCCGACAATATTATTTGCGACGGAAGCCACATAGAAATCGGGAGCACTCCAACTAGGACCTTCAACAGCAAGAGCAACATGAGTAGTTGGCATTGAGTCATCTTGAATTCTAATGTCATCCCCGTAGAATCTTGGTAAGTCTCCACCATTTTGTTGGAATGGGACTTCTGATTTTTCAATTCTATTGAAATATTTCTTGGTTAAGTCTACTAATTTCTCATGATCGACATCACCAACACCAACACAAACCATTCTATCACCTTTATAATTTGTCTTTATATAATCTAATATAGCACTTCTATTAATTGTTTTAATTTTTTCACGAGGACCTAAAATGGTTCTACCTAAATCTTGATTCTTGAATGCAACAGCATGTAAATGATCAAATACAACTTCATCATGCATTTTATCAACTTCATCACTTTCTTGTAAGATAACCGATCTTTCATTTTCAATTGCTCTTGGTTCTAATTTTGAATTTGTAAGTAGATCACTCAACATGTCCATAGATTGATCTAAATTTTTTGATAAAGATTTAATATGATATACCGTGTTTTCTCTTGAAGTATATGCACAAATTGATGATCCCAAGTTTTCAATTTCTAATTCTAATACATGTTGAGATCTATTTTTAGTTCCTTTGAATGTCAAATGTTCTAAGAAATGAGCAGTACCACTTTCCTTTGGGGAATCTGTTCTAGAACCAGCATTAATCCAAATACCAACAGTGGCGGTTCTTGTTCCTGGAATTACTTCACTTGCCACTGTCATACCATTGGGTAATTGGGAGGTTTTAAAAGTAGGAACGGTGGGAACAGTACCGAAATAACGACGAGATACGGCATGGTTTGCTTTTGATAATGATCTTATTGCTCTAAACATGCTTACTATCTTTTGTTAGAATTGTATGTGACGATTTCTTAAGCGATGATGAGTCTGTGAATTGAAGGATTTGTCATTATTCTTTACATAGAAGATGAAGTCTAGACTTTCCGTTTTTAACCAAATTACACGACCTTTAAATTTTGGTGTAGAAATTTTTCAAAACATTGGATGGTTTGATTCATATGGTTTACATTCAGAGTAAGCTGTAAAAAAGAACAACTGATTTAACAACAAAGAGAGATAATGGCGGCATATACATCACCGGCAGTTGTTATAGATAATGGATCTTATACAACCAAAGCAGGATTTGCTCTGGAAGATTTACCTTCTTTAGTATTTAATTCTAATTATATGATTAATCCAGAAACTCAAGCAGTTATCATTGGTGATGAAGAATTAGAAGCTAACTGTCAGAATGAAGTAATGACATTACTTGATAATAATAGTTTAATTTATAACTTTGATAATATTGTTCATAATTGGCAATATGTTTATGATAATATTGATAATCATAATCCTATTGATCCTAAAGAATATCCTTTGGTATTAACTGAACAATCTTGGAATACTTCTAAAAATAAAATAACAACTTGTCAAATTGCATTTGAGAATTTAGAAGTTCCAATCTTTTCATTGGTTAAAACTCCTATTGCTCAATTATATCGTGCTGGTAAATCTACTGGACTTGTTATTGATATAGGATCAAGTGTTACTAGTGTTACTCCAATATTAGATGGAATTATACAACAAAAATCAACTTATCATTCTAAATATGCTGGTGATTTTTTGAATTTACATGTATTGAATTATTTACAAAATAAGGCACCAATTGATCATTTAATCCCCTCGAAGTTCCATAATCGAGCATCTGAATCATTTAAGAATTATTATACAAGTCATAATATTTTACAAGAATATAAGAATTTAACAATAAGTTATCAAACTAAACATTATAAATTATATAATCTGGATGAATATCTTGATATTACTGATCAACGGAATTGTTTAGAAAATTTATTTGATCCAACATTAAATAAATTATCAAATATAACAATTCCAGAACCAACTTTAGATAAACCAAGTTCACATGGTTTAACTAACTTAGTATTTTTAGCTTTAAAAAATTTAGAAGCAAGTTTATTACCAACTACAAATGATTCAACGGCTCAAAATAAATTTGCAAGATTTATTGAAATTTTTAAAGAATTATTATCAAATGTTTTAATTACTGGTGGTACTTCATCTGCTAATGGATTACCTGATCATATAATTAATGATTTAAGAGCTTTAACTCAAAAATATTTCCCCAATTATCCCTTCTCATATGCTGTTCAACAAATTAGACCTAATAATACTGAAAATGCGGAAATTTGGGATCGTCAATTTGGTGCTTGGTTAGGGGCTTGTAATTTAGCCAGTATGCTTAATGATAATAATGAAGATTCAAATAGTGCAAAGATTGCTTTAGATAACTGGTTTATTACCAAAGCCGATTATGAAGAATTAGGTGAAGATTTAATTGTAGAAAAATTCAAATAGAATATAGGGGTTTCTTTATCTTATATACAATGTACTACTACCACTACTGTTTATGTATTAAATTCAATCATGTATTATTAAATTATAAAAAATTGCAGAAAACGAACGTACGTTTCTCTCTCTCTTTATGGAGTCCAACCAACATACTTGTTATCATATGCCTTGGTATTTCCATGTATTGCCAAAATTTCATTAATTTTATATTCAATACCAGCTTTACTATAATACTTAGCTTTGAAATGTTTCATAAGTTCACTTGGAGTTGGCAAATAAGTTCTACCAGATCCATCGGTGCCAGTTATATATTCAGCAACATCTTGATTAGTAGGTAATCCCATCTTGAATGGATATTCTTTGTAATCAACACCAAACCATGGATTAAGTAATGGGGTTTTTAAATGTTCCAAAACATTTTTAGACTTATATTTCATAGATTGAATAAATTTATTATCAACCTTTTCAGCTGGAGTCCATTTAGGGAATGGTGGAGATTTAATCTTATGAATTAATTTATGAGCAACACCATTAGCAAAATCATTTTCAGCTGGATCAATACAAGAAAGATTAGTAGCAGCAATCATTTCTAATTCAAATTGTTGTCTAATTGTGTTCTTAACCCCTTCATTCATTAAATCAAATGCAATTGCAAGTGAAGTAGTTGGTTTTTCATTTAATTTTGCAAGAGTCTTTAAAGCAAATTCAGAACCATCCTTCTTTAAATATTCAATAACATGGAAAATTGATTTTTGATTAAAAGCTTTATTAATAAGAGCAATTTCTTCAGTTGATAATGGGAATTTATAATCATCAGGGATTTTCTTTTCAGCCATTCCATCAAGAACTTGATTAACTTCTTGGAAATGTTTAACACCTCCCAAATGATTTACAACTTCTGATAATCTCTTTTCTAAAATTGGGATATTTTCAGATTTAATATAATGAGTTGCAAAACCAGCCATATAAGCATCTAAACCAGTTAAAATTGTATTAGTTAAAGCATAATAATAACCTAATCTATTATCTAAACGAGGTAAAAAGAAAGTAGCACCAACATCGGGGAAAAATCCAATATCCATTTCTGGCATGGCAACTTTTGTCTTTTCAGTAGCAACTCTAAATGGGGCATGAACTGAAAGTCCAACACCTCCACCAAAAGTAATACCATCCATAATTGCAACATAAGGTTTTGGGAAAGTTGAAATAATATAATTCAAATTATATTCCTTTTGAAAGAAATCACAAGGATATTGAGGATTACCAGCTTTAATAGTCCTTGAACATTCAGCAACATCACCACCAGCACATAAAGCTTTTGGAGAATTTGAATTTAATATAATAGTTTTATTACCAGTTTCTTGAGCCCATTCAACTAATTTTGGAGTCATTAATTCAATCATTTCAGTATTTAAAGAATTCAATTTAGCTGGACGATTAAGGGTAATGAAATTGGCATTACCTACTTGTTTAAATAAAACAACTGGTTCATTTACACTGGCCATTGTAGCTTTTGATATTCTATTAATAATTGATCTGGTAGTTGTAGATGATGATGATCTAATAAGATTCAGAGTAGTTGATCTTAACATTTTTCTAAAAAAAAAATATTTTTTGTAAAATTAAGGAATTTGATAATTAATTTATATTTATCTTAAAATTTCAATCAACCTTTATTACAATTATGATGTGGGGTTGTTTAATGTTTTTTGGCTGTAATTCCCCCTTTATGGTTATTTGTCACCTGTGGTTATAAGGAGGAGGTTTTTTCTAATGCCCTCGGAAAAATTTTTTCCACGGGAAATCAAACAAAGTTTAATTGGATAGACAGACACGACCTTTTCTGTATTGTCTTTTGTGTCCCACCCCCGCGTTTTATCTCTCTCTCTCTCTCTTTGATTGACTCAACTCGGTAATAGAAGGAAAATTACCCGCTTATTTAAAGTAATGAATATTGTCCAACTAATAAACATTCTTCTCTCTTTTCTTCATCTGAGAAACTAACCACTGAAGATCTTCTTCGAGGTAATTGATATTGATAGAAATTCCCAGTTTGATAAGATGCCAAATATACTAAATCATTATTAAATCCAATTTCCACTTTAAAACGACGATTGCCACCTCCTTCTGTATTAGTGTTATTTTCTGGAAGCTTTATATAAGCAAATGATCTTCTTGGCGGCTCCCATATTAAATTTTCAAAATAATCTTTATATGGTAATTTTTTAATTATCTTATTTGTATAATTATTCTTTAAGAACTTTTTAGTCTTCTTTAACCATGATGATTGATTTTTTGATTCATTCTTGGGAGATGTGGATGGTGAATCTACAGGTTTGGAAAGTAACAACCCTGCCAAACTTTCATTTAAATCATCAGAAGATCTACTTGTTTCCATATCACTATCTTCATTCTCTCCATTATCTTCATTATTCTCATTATTGGTTTGGGCTGTATTTCTGTCATCTGATAATTTAAAGATATGTATAGTATCACTTTCAGATCCACATCCTAAGACTTGATTGTCATTATGAAAACTTAACGAATTGATTCTAGCCAAATTATGTCCTCTACGTAGATTAGTCACTTGTTTTACTTGAAATTTCTTCCCATTATTATCCTCTGTCGATTCCTTCAATTGAAATACCCGTACGATTGTTCCTTTCTTGGATGCAGTGGCAATCTTATTTTCACTATTGTTAGAAATGGCAATCTTGGCAATTGACGAATCATGAGCTTGGAATATAAGTATAGGTTTCAAATCAAGTGTATCATAAACCAATACCCAACCATTACTATCATGTTTAATATCATCTAGGGTTATATTTGACTTATTTCTTAAACTACTGGTTGAAGTTTTCTTTGTAAATTCAATCATTGAATCAAAATAACTTTGGATATTAGTTGATTTGGGATTATTACCAGGGGTATCCATCAGTTCGGACGAACTAAACTTATAGTCTGCGCCAAATAAATTGGTATTAGTACCAAGTTGAGAAATCGGTATTACTAACCATGACCTATCATCCACACTTAATTCCCCAACGAATTCATCATGATTCTCATCATTCACACTTATTGGATTGATTTGTAAGATCTTTAATAATCGTACACAACTTAAATCATAAATATATATTTGTCCCGTTTCTAAGACTACCAATAATCTCTTTCTATTTAATTTGATATCAATTATATTTGAAGGAAATGTCAATTCACAAATCTTTAAGTTTTGCTTTAGGTTATAAATCTTTAATAATCGATTATTACCAGCATTATCTTGTGGAACAATAATTGTTAAAGATGTGGAGAATAACATTTTTAAAAAAACAGTTGGGAACACATTAGTGTCATTGTTGTTTTGTGATGGGGAACGTATATCATCATTACTACTTCTTGAACCTATTCGATGAAGAGTGGTCGTTTCTTCGATTGAATTGGATATGGATCTTCGTGATGTTCCTTGAGTAGATGAATAGAATTCTCCAAATGGCTCACAATTGAATATTCTATGTCCTTCTGATGTGGAGATTGAGATTGATGAATAATCAGGATTGAATGTTAAGTCATTGATCCTTTCCATTGTCATTGTCTGTTAAGTGTTCTTGGTGGGCTGCTGATTAAGTTCGTTATCAATGCCCCTAGGAGTAAATGGTAATTAATTAGAGGGAGAAAAAAATTAATATGGGGAGAGAGGAGGAAGTTATTAGTAGTAGTACTTTGTTACAATACACTATTCTATGAAAATCAAGAAGCTTATTACACACACGATTTACCTAAACAAGCCAAACAGGGGAAGCAGACAGTAGGATGCAATTACTCATCAACTTCTTCCAATCTGACTTTTCTCTTTTCAGCACCTCCGTTTGAAACCTGAGAGCCTGAAGCAGTAGCAGCAGAATCTGATTGACCATTATTAGCTGATTCTCCTTTACCGTCCTTCTTTTTAGACTTCTTTGACTTCTTTTTCTTGGGTTCTTCCCATCCATAAACTGGTTGGAAACTTTCAATAACTCCACAATCTTCAAATAAATTAGGGAATAACCAGAATGGTTTTGGACATACTACCAATGACACTAAATAAATGATCAATCTTACTATTGCAATACCGAAAAACAAAGCAATCAACCCTAATGCACCCATTGAAAGATACCATACACCTCTTCTCATCGAAGTTGGCCATAATGGGAATAATATAATTGCAAATACACCTGAAATTGCTAATAAACTATATAATAAAATATAAGGATTTGGTTTCAGATATAACCAACCATAATAAGCATTAGGATCAATTAATGCTTTATCTGATTTCTTTATTGTTGGTTTTTGTTTATTTGGTTTCCAACCTTTTATAGCTTTAATTTCAGCATAATGTAATTTTTGAATTGGAATAATTAATTGATTTTGAATTAATAAAATTAAAATTCTTTGAACTTCTTGAGAATCTTTAATTGGGATTAATCCATTCTTGGGATTTTGAAGCTTGGTTTTATAATCTTCACTTAATAATGCTCTTTCAAATCGTTTATATCTAAAGAAATCAACATCATTGGTATTTTCTAATAATCCGGTTCTTTGTTTTAAAATTGGATTTTGAAATAAATAATTGGCAATACTTATGGCGACTGGTGAACGTTGGGGTGACATCTGAATTGGTACACCACCTCCATTTGCTGGTTGTGCTGACATCTTTGATTGTTTTCTTATTGGGTTGGGAGATCAAAAAGTTGATTTAAATGTTGACAGTTAATTTCAAAGTAAGTTGAATATTTTTTTCGTACTTGCCCTCTCTGGTTTTTACTCTAACGTGTTCAGTTGGGCAAAAAAAAGTATATATTTGGTAGCACTGACATGTGATTCTCTCAGCAAGGCTTTTGTTTTGACTGCAAAATATTGCGGGAAGGGTATATGGTATGGAGACAGCGTATAAATTACTATTATTGTGTATCTATATAAGTATATAAGTAAAAGAAAAAAGATTTATGAATAAATACAAACCATTTTCATTGCTTTCTTGTATAAAACTTTCAAAATATTAAGAACCATTTTGATTTACAACACTTTCTCACTTCAAAATGAAGGATTGAATAGGATTGACATTTAATAAACATAAGATTGGTATTTTTTTGGATTTTTTTAATAGTTAACATGGAAAAACAAACAAATTTAACCCAAATTCTAAACCCTTCATTGAACTCCCAGTCTATTATTACCTATGGAACGTCATAATCATAAGTTTTACAACAACAATGCAATAATGATGCAGCTAAAATATTAATGTACAAATTAAAAGGACCCACAATGAAATTATTGATGCATGCTGATGATGGCGATGCGAAGAAATGAAATAAAATTAAAACTTTTATAATTCAGTATTGTCCAAGAAGAAATAATTCCCAGATAATTTTTGTTCTTTATCCATTTGAGAATCTAATTTATTAATTCTTGGTCTAAAAGAGTTTGGATCTCTTCTGAAAGTAACATTCAAATTCTTCAAGAAACGGTTACAACCAGTCAATAAGGATTCTGGAGCTCTGGCAACAGCATTTATGGATGGTTCACCTTCAAAGACAATGACTCTATCAGCCAAATAGGTAGCCATAATGAAATCATGTTCAACAACAAATGCAGCCTTTTTGGCATGTAAAATGAATCTTCTAATAACCTTGGAACAAATAATACGTTGTTCAGAATCCAAATATGCAGATGGTTCATCAATCAAATAAATATCAGCTGGAATACCTAATGCTAAAACAATAGCAACTCTTTGCAATTCCCCACCAGATAAGGTTTGAACTTCTTGATCAACAATATCATCAATCTTCAATGGTTTAACAACATCAGTTTGAAATTGTGGATGTAAGAATGCAGCTCTAATCTTCTTAAAGAACAATTGTCTGACAGTACCAGCAAATTTTGGAGCAATCTTTTGTGGTTTCATAGAAACATTCAACTTCGGAATTTCTTGACCTCCATCTGGAGCAATAGCACCAGCTAATAATTTACAGAAAGTAGTCTTACCAGTACCATTTTCACCCATCATAACCAAGATTTCAGAGTTGGTAAATTCACCAGCTTCAACCCTCATATGGAAATCACCTTGAGTCCTTTCCATAGATGGATAAGTAAAAGCATTTGATTGATCTAAAACTAATCCATCTGCAGCATCAGTTAATCTGAATTGTAAGGATTCAGTTCTAAATCTCATATTTTCAGTTGGAATATGACCATCTAAAAAGATATTAATACCTTCTCTAACTGAAGATGGTAATGTAACAACCCCATAAACAGACGGAACACCATAAAGAATACAAACAAAATCAGACAAATAATCCAAAACAGATAAATCGTGTTCAACACAAATGACATAACTGGTAGGAGTCAATAATGATCTAATAAGTTCCGCAGCTCTTAATCTTTGTTTAACATCCAAATAAGAAGATGGTTCATCAAACATATAAACTTGGGCATCTTGAACACAAGTCATAGCAAGTGCAAATCTTTGTAATTCACCACCAGATAAGTTTACAACTTCACGCTTAAGAACATGTTTTAATTCCATAATATCTAAAATATAATCAAATTCACTCTTTCTTTCATTTTTGGCGGCTAAAATGGCACCGACTTCTTTGACAGGAGATTTAACCAATGCACGAGGAATATTATCCACATATTGTGGTTTAATAATGGCTTTAATGTTATCTTCTAAAACTTTAGTGAAATAGTTTTGTAATTCAGAACCTCTAAAATATCTCAAGATTTCTTCCCAATCAGGTGGATCATCAAATCTACCTAAATTTGGTTTTTGTTTACCAGCCAAAATCTTAAGAGCAGTAGATTTACCAATACCATTAGTACCAACCAAACCTAAAACTTGACCTGGTCTTGGAGTTGGTAATCTATGCAACTTGAATGAATTGGCAGAATATCTATGAGTAGTTTCACCTTCTAAATTGGTTGGTAAATTGATAATGGTGATAGCATCGAATGGACATTTCTTGACACAAATACCACAACCAATACATAAAATTTCTGAAATGAATGCAATTTTGGATGTTGGAGTAACTTCAATACATAATTTACCAGTCTTATTAACAGGACAACTTCTTCTACATTCCTGTTTACACTTTTTTGGTTTACATCTATCGGCAGAAACGATAGCAATTCTATGGTGTTTAGAACTACTTTCTGCTGCTCTAGTGTTATTTTTCCCTTTAGAACTCATTGTTGGTTTAGTTTACGATTTTCACTTAAGAAAAGAAAGAAGGATTATTAATGATAATTAATTGACTGAATTTTTGTATGTGGCATCACGTTAAAGACGCACTCTAAATTTTTTTTTTTTCTTTCTTTTGAAAATTTTTTTTTAAAATTGCACAAAATATTTTATTACTAATTTTTGTTAAGGACATAGTTTACTACTGAGCCCATACATTTCTCTCAGTAAATGTCAGTACAATTACTAAACCATGTCATGTGATTGGCCCTTTTTCCATAAACAACATGTCCTTGTCAAATAGCAAATTTAAAGAATATAGTCAATTGTAGATGGAAACTCTATGGTCATTGGATGTATGACTGGATGATCTACTCTCCATATTTCCTCTTAAATTGTTTCATCTTGATGTAATATTTTGAAGCTTTATATGGATAACACTCAGAATTTGTTCTTACCTTCGGCAATGGGACATAAATTCTTGACATAAGTAGCACAAAGAAACTTTATAAGGCTCTTCTAACTGCAATTTAAGATCATAAAGATAAAAGGTTTAATATCTTGACTAAACGAACCTAATAAATTACCTAATAAATTAAGTGAAACCCAAGAACATCTACTCGTTAATACATTATGGCCGATGGCTTCTGTGTACTTCGCCTCTCTAGATGTCTAGACATTAAGTTTCAATCGACATTTACATAGCGAATGAAACTCTAGTACATCTTTTGCTTGACTCTTACATGGCTGTATTAGGAAATGGGAAAGATGGTTGCAAAAAAACAAACCATATGTTGTCTCCCCACTTCCAACCAACTCCGGGTAACTACTTGTGAATACTGAATAGGAAAGTAAATGCGAAGGTCGTTCTAAACTCAATTTTTGTCTCAGTTTCTTGAATTTGTTTCTGTTGACAGAAGAATCAGAAAAAAAAATCGTCAAATTTTAATTTTCCCAAAATTCTGTTTTTTGTTCCTTTCTCTTTTTCTACTATGGTAGAATTAAAACACACTTAACTAGGACAGGTATGTTATGAATCATAGTGAAAAAAGTTAATTAATTCCTACTTTGATGGTATGTGGTCCATTGGGACCTTCTTCTAGATCTTCTAGGGTTGATGTTGCTGTTATTAGTACTGATTGTATTAGTTCTTTAGTTGTATGCTGTTGCCAATATGTCAGAGTCTGTCTCCTATGATAGTCTAAGTTGTATGCTGCTGGTAAGTTGCTTATAACGACATTTATCCTTCCTTTAGGAGTTAAATGTCCGTTTAGATCATACTATTCTACTAACTTAAAGCTGAAACACACCCTCTAGTTGAGCTATTACTGCTTGATAGGTATTGATAACTATGCTACTTCGCCACTTCAGATACCCAAAGGTCAAATCTATCCAAAATGGTTGCAAAAAATGTTGCTCTTGTCAACTTGAATATTGATGAAGGCAAATCGACTCATGCTTACGCATGACAACATACCATCGACTATTTGGGTCTTTGGTATTGTAGTTGATTTACTGAACGTCGATCTTTGATGTTGGCTGCAAAAAATTGCTCCTTTCGGCTTGGTTAGAAATGGTTGATAGATGTCATCTTTTCCTTGCTATGGCTAATGTCAAATAATAGAAACAATTTCTCTGTAATAAATATCCAAAGAACATCTTCAATTTTAATGTTGTTATCGAAGTTATGATAATCATGACCTTTGTAGAAATGCTATTTTAATGCCTGTTTCTTGTACTTTAAACTTCTAATTCATTAACTATCGAATAATTCTTCATTTAAAACAGCAAATCACGTTTCGGCTGATGATTGTCGCCGGTTTTTTGAGCCAATAGAAAAATTTTGTTGTTGTTGGGTTTTCTTTTCTTTCTTCCCTCTTTTCCCCCTTTACCGATTTTTTACAAAACAACCCCCCAATATCTATTCCCATTAAAATCCAAGTGGTATTAGATTGTATAGAAAGACAGTGACTCATATATTCACTAGATACAAAACAAATTTACAAAAAAATAGGAAAACAAGACGCTTGTTGAACATCAGTTTTGTTTCAAAAAGTAATTTGTGGTCATTAGGTAAAAATAGATTTATCAATAATCAATCCACTGATTTCATATAGATCACATATATATAGAAAATATACACATAGAAGAGTAAGGGTAATTCCATCACAAATCTGTTACAACCATTATCCCCCTTTTTTGTTCCTGGTCAGTTTATAATTACTCCCATATAAAACCCCTACCCAGTGATTATCTGGTGATATTTTTTTACATTTTTGCATCAATCATAGAATATGGTAAAATTAGTTATACCGGAAGAAGCTGAGTTAAACCCGGAACTCTATGGACTTAGGCGATCTCGTCGTGAGAGACATGCACCTTCCATTGTAGAAGAAAGTGATTCCGACGAAGACGCTGCTCCAAAAAGAAAGAAAAAGAGAACAACCCATCATGACGAATATAGTGATGGGATAGTAGAAGATGATGAGGATGAGGAAGAGGAAGATGAATTTGATGACGATGAAGATGATGAATTTGTTGTAAATCATAAGAGACATACTCCTAAAACGGCACATACCAAAAAGCATAAAAAGAAGAAATTAACCCAATCCCGGACTTCATCATCTACGCCGCAAGAGATTAGATTTTCATCTAGAAATAATAAACAAGTTAATTATAATGTCGATTTTGAAGATGATGAAGATCTTCTTGAAAGTGAACCAGAATTCGATGAAGACGATGAAAATGGTGATTATTACTATTATCAACAAGCCAATGAACAACCTGAAGATGAGAGAGGTATTGACCTTGTAATGGATCATAAACTAAATGAAGACAACGCTGAACTAACGAATGAACCTAAGTTAGATTATCTATTCAAGATTAAATGGACCGATGCATCTCATTTACATAATACATGGGAAAAGTATCAAGATTTAAAAGACTTTAAAGGTTTTAGAAAAGTAGACAATTATATTAAGCAATTTATAATGTATGATCTCGAAATACGAAATGATCCATTAACCACCAAGGAAGACATCGAGGCCATGGATTTAGAAAGAGAAAGAAGAAGAGATGAACAAGAGGAATATACGCATGTTGAAAGAATCGTTGATAGTCAAAGAATTGAAGATGAACAAGGTGAGAATAAATTGAAATATTTCGTTAAATGGAGAAGATTATATTATGATGAATGTTCTTGGGAAGATGCTGAAGAAATTGCCAATATTGCTCCTGATCAAGTTTCAAAATATCAACAACGATTAAAATCAAAAATCTTACCTAATCTTTCTGCAAATTATCCACTTTCTCAAAGACCAAGATTTGAAAAATTAGTGAAACAACCAGTATTCATCAAGAATGGGGAATTGAGAGATTTCCAATTGACAGGTTTAAACTGGATGGCTTTCTTATGGTCCAGAAATGAAAATGGGATCTTGGCTGATGAAATGGGTTTAGGTAAAACAATTCAAACAATTTCATTTTTATCATGGTTAATCTTTGCAAGAAGACAAAATGGTCCCCATTTGGTTGTTGTTCCATTATCGACCATTCCTGCTTGGCAAGAAACTTTTGAAAGATGGGCACCTGATGTTAATTGTGTTTATTATTTAGGTAATGGTGAAGCTAGAAAGACAATTAGAGATTATGAACTTTATACTTCAAATGGTAAACCTAAATTCAACATCTTGTTAACTACATATGAATATATTCTTAAAGATAGAGTTGAATTAGGTTCAATCAAATGGCAATTCTTGGCAGTTGATGAAGCTCATAGATTAAAGAATGCAGAATCATCTTTATATGAATCATTAGTAGGGTTTAAGGTTGCAAATAGATTATTAATTACTGGTACTCCATTGCAAAATAACATGAAGGAATTAGCAGCATTATGTAATTTCTTAATGCCAGGTAAAATTAATATCGAACAAGAAATCGATTTTGAAACCCAGGATGAAGAACAAGAACTTTATATCAAAGATTTACAAAAGAAAATCCAACCATTCATATTAAGAAGATTAAAGAAAGACGTTGAGAAATCATTACCTTCTAAAACAGAAAGAATTTTAAGAGTTGAATTATCAGATATCCAAACTGAATATTATAAGAATATAATCACTAAGAATTATGCTGCTTTGAATGCTGGTGCTAGATCACAAATTTCATTATTGAACATTATGAGTGAATTGAAAAAAGCATCCAATCATCCATATTTATTCGATGGAGCAGAAGAAAGAGTCTTGTCAAAAGCCGGTTCTGCATCTCGTGATAATATCCTCAGAGGAATGATTATGTCCTCGGGTAAAATGGTCTTATTGGAACAATTATTAACTAGATTGAAAAAGGAAGGACATAGAGTCTTAATCTTTTCACAAATGGTTAGAATGTTGGATATATTAGGGGATTATTTATCTATCAAAGGATATCAATTCCAAAGATTAGATGGAGGTATACCGTCCGCACAAAGAAGAATTTCAATTGATCATTTCAATGCTCCTGATTCTAAAGATTTCATATTTTTATTGTCAACTCGAGCTGGTGGATTGGGTATTAATTTAATGACGGCAGATACTGTTATTATATTTGATTCTGATTGGAATCCACAAGCTGATTTACAAGCGATGGCACGGGCTCATAGAATTGGACAAAAGAATCATGTTTCAGTTTATAGATTTGTTAGTAAGGATACTGTGGAAGAAGAGATTTTGGAAAGAGCTAGAAAGAAGATGATTTTGGAATATGCTATTATTTCTTTGGGTATTACTGATCAGAATTCTAATAAGAGTAAAACAGAACCTTCAAGTAGTGAATTAAGTCATATTTTGAAATTCGGTGCTGCTAATATGTTTAAAGATAATGATAATCAAAAGAAATTGGAAGATTTGAATTTAGATGATGTTTTAAGTCATGCTGAAGATCATATTACAACTCCAGATTTGGGAGAATCTAATTTAGGTTCTGAAGAATTTTTGAAACAATTTGAAGTGACTGATTATAAAGCAGATGTTGAATGGGATGATATTATACCTGAAGATGAATTAACTAAATTGAAAGATGAAGAAAAGAAGAAAGCTGATGAAGAATATTTACAACAACAAATTGCAATGTATTCAAGAAGAAAGGCAGCTGTTCTTAAATTTGAAAATGGATCCTCTGTTCCAAGTGATGCAGAAGTTGAAGATGAAGATGATACTAGGATTACAAGAAGAAGAAATGCTAGTGATCATCAATTATCTGAAAAGGAAATCAGAGGTATCTATAGATCAATCTTAAGATTGGGTGATTTGAGTGGTAAATGGGAACAATTAGTTGAAGAAGGTAGTATCACAAACAAGAACCCGGTATTAGTTAAACATGCATATAATGAAATTATCAACACTTCCAGACAATTGGTGAAAGAAGAAGAAGCTAGACGTACTCAAGCACTCGCGGAATTGGAGAAAAAAGCCAAGGAACAAAAGGATAAACCTCTTGAACCAGGTGAACCAAACCCAACTGCATTATGGATTGCTAAAAAGAAAGAGAAGAAGGCAGTTTTATTTGAATATCAAGGTGTGAAAAATATCAATGCTGAATTGGTATTGAATAGACCAGTTGATATGAAATTATTAGAAAAGATTGTACCAAAAGAAAATCCAATGAATATTCAACTTCCTAGACAACCTAAACAAGTTCAAGCTTGGACTTGTGATTGGACAGCTAAAGATGATGCTATGTTATTAGTTGGTGTTTATAAGTTTGGATATGGATCTTGGGTCCAAATTAGAGATGATCCTGTCTTAGGATTACAGAATAAGATTTTCTTAGAGGCTGCCCCAAATCCAAAAGATAAGGCGAAATTGAAAGATGCTGCCAATAAAGAAGAAGAAGCTGTTAATAATAAGAATTCTAAGAAAGTTCCAGGTGCTGTTCATTTAGGTAGAAGGGTTGATTATTTGTTTACATTACTTCGGGATGAAGAACCTGAAAATGCGGGTGGATCAACACCTGTACCGGTTAAGAAGAGAGTTAGAAAGCCTAAATCTGCAACTCCAATACCTCCAACATCAGTATCAGGTCCTTTGAAATCTAAGAAACCAATCAAGAATGAATCTCCTGAAATGACATTTAGAAAGATTAAACCAAAGAGACCACTTGGTCCTAAACTTCTTTCACCTGAAACCCATCATCATCGTTCTCCTCAACATCATAATCAAAATGATCATCATCATGCTCATGCTCATCCTCATCGTCATCATGAACATGGACAACATGAGAATTCTCATCATCATAAGAAAGAAGCTCGTAAATTGGAATATGACAGTATGGATGAAGCTCAATGTAAATCTACAATGCAACCAGTAACTAAATCATTAAGCAGATTGCATAAGGGAAGTAAAGGATTAGACAAACATGAATGGGCTAAGATATTAAAAAGTGAGTTATTAACAATTGGAGATTTCATAGATAAGGAATCCAAAAAGTCATCTTCGGTTGAAAATGGAGAAACAGTAAAGAAACATCTTTGGTCATTTGCTGGTCTTTATTGGCCATCAGTTGTTCCAAGTAAAAAAATCAGTGAAATGTATAATAGATTAAAAACACAAGCTAAACCATCATCCAATTGATTTGTATATTGTTCCTTTTTGTTGTATATCATTTATTTTGTTATTATATAAACAGTTTGTATATTTGTAATTTTATAAAATCGTATATTATTAGAGAGAGAGAAAGAGTGCTCGTTAGCTACTACTGTCACGACACATTCATTCCCATCTTCTGTGTGGTTGGATACTTGGATCCCTGGGAATCATATAGAACCTTCTAAATACGATAAGAGTCAATTTATTAACATTACTTCTACCAGTCTCTATTCCAGTAAGATTAGATTAAGATCATTTGCAGCCAATTTGACAAAATAAAGAAAGAGTTATCCGGGTAACACAAGTTTCTCATCGCGTAATCCATATAACATCCAAACATCAATAGTTAATCTCTAATGAAAAAATTTTCGTCGATTGATTTCTTTTTTTTTTTTATTTGATTTAAATTTATAAATTCTCTCCCAACTGACCCACGCTTTTACTGCTTCTTAACAGAGAGAGAAGAAGAGGTCTACAAGCAAAAAAAAAAAAAATACAACAACCAAAGAACTAAAGAAAAAAAATTTAACCAAAAAAAAAAATTTCATGTTTGTAACTTTTCCTCTTCTCTTTCTTTCTTCTTCTTCTTCTTTAAGTCAACTTTAAAGGAAACTAAATTTCAATCAAACTTCCCAAATAATCTAAGCTAAGATAATCTCCCAATTTCTTAACTTTCATTAAAAAAGTCTACTTAAAATATTAAAAAAAAAATATTAAAAAAAAAAATCCATTTAATTCAATTAAATCCAACCATGTCTGCTGAAGAAACTAACCAAATCCAAGAATCTTTGGAAAAATTGAACATTGAAGAACAACAAGCTTCAACTTCTCCTGTTTCTGCTGAACAAGCTGCTACTGAAGAACAAGCTGAAGGTGCTAATGTTGCCGACAGTTCTGCTTCTCTTTATGTTGGTGAATTAAATCCATCTGTTAATGAAGCTATTCTTTTTGAAATCTTTTCCCCAATCGGTCAAGTCTCTTCTATTAGAGTTTGTCGTGATGCTGTTTCTAAGAAATCTTTAGGTTATGCTTATGTTAACTACCATAAAATGGAAGATGGTGAAAAGGCTATTGAAGAATTAAACTATAGTTTAATTGAAGGTCGTCCATGTCGTATCATGTGGTCTCAAAGAGATCCTGCTTCTAGAAGATCTGGTGATGGTAATATCTTCATTAAGAACTTACATCCAGCTATTGATAATAAGGCTTTACATGATACTTTCTCTGCTTTTGGTAAAATCTTATCTTGTAAGGTTGCTACTGATGATATGGGTCAATCTAAATGTTTTGGTTTTGTTCATTATGAAACTGCCGAAGCTGCCGAAGCTGCTATTGAAAATGTTAATGGTATGTTATTAAATGACCGTGAAGTTTTCGTTGGTAAACATATTTCCAAAAAAGATCGTGAATCTAAATTTGAAGAAATGAAGGCTAATTATACTAATGTTTATGTTAAAAACATTGATGTTGAATTTAGTGACGAAGACTTTGAAAACTTATTTAAACCATACGGTGGTATTACTTCCATTTATTTGGAAAAGGATCAAGATGGTAAATCTAAGGGTTTTGGTTTTGTTAACTTTGAACAACATGAATCTGCTGTTAAGGCCGTTGAAGAATTAAATGATAAAGAAATCAATGGTCAAAAGATTTATGTTGGTAGAGCTCAAAAGAAGAGAGAAAGAATGGAAGAATTAAAGAAACAATATGAATCTACTAGATTAGAAAAATTATCTAAATATCAAGGTGTCAATTTATTTGTTAAGAATTTAGATGAATCTGTTGATTCTGAACAATTAGAAGAAGAATTCAAACCATTTGGTTCTATTACTTCTGCTAAGGTTATGGTTGATGAAGTTGGTAAATCCAAGGGTTTTGGATTTGTTTGTTTCTCAACTCCAGAAGAAGCTACTAAAGCCATTACTGAAATGAATCAAAGAATGGTCGCTGGTAAGCCATTATATGTTGCTTTAGCTCAACGTAAGGATGTTAGACGTTCTCAATTAGAACAACAAATCCAAGCTAGAAATCAAATGAGAATGCAAAATGCTGCTGCATCCGGTGGAATGCCAGGTGCCAATTTCATGCCACCATTCTTTTATGGTCAACAAGGTTTCTTCCCACCAAATGGTGGTAGAGGTCAAGCACCATTCCCAGGTCCAAACCCTCAAATGATGATGAGAGGTAGAGGACAACCATTTGGAGGTCCAGAACAATGGCCAAGACCAGGTGGACCAAATGGTGGTCAACCAGTTCCAGTTTATGGTATGCCACCTCAATTCCAAGATTTCAATGGTCAACAAAACATGAGAGGAGGACAACAACAACAAGGACAAGGCCAACAACAAAGAGGTGGTTATTATCCAAACCGTAATCAAAAGCAAGGTGGTAATCGTCAAAAGGATTTAGCTGCTATTATTGCTAATGCTCCACCAGATCAACAAAAGAGAATCTTGGGTGAAGAATTATATCCAAAGATTGTTGCTACTGGTAAAGCTCAAGAACCAGAAGCTGCTGGTAAGATTACTGGTATGATGTTGGGATTAGAAAATCAAGAAATTTTAGATTTATTGGAAGATGATGATTTATTTAATAATCATTTCGAAGATGCTTTGACTGCTTTTGAAGAATATAAGAAGTCTGAAGGTGCTCAAGCTCCAGTTGCTGAACAACCTCAAGCTTAAGTGTAGTTGAGTTTTTTTGAAAATAGAAAAATATCATTAGAATAAGTCATATGAAATGAATGAATATACTATGGTGAGAAGATAATGTTATCTATTATTTAGTAGTAGTTGTTTAGTAGTGTGTTTTTGTTTGATAGTGTGTGTTGTGAAAGTATCTTATGTATTTTTATTTGGTAATTTTTTACTTATTGGGTTAAATGGATTTACAATTATAAATAAGAAAAATAGGAATAAAAATAAGAAAAATTTTGTTTTTAAAGAATGCTCTGTCTGTAGATTATCGTAGGAAGATTATTGATGACGTAGACATGTAGTTTACTCTCTCGGTTGTAGTTATCCAATGTGTTGGATGTTTCATGTAAATGTGAGAAGAATGAAATTTTACAATTCTCTAGGGGGGACAGCACATACGGGAAAATAGGGAAATAGGTTGCAAAATTTTCTACAATGAAAGAAATTTGAAACAACACATAAAAAATATCCTTATCAACGTTTTTTTGTCTACTCAACTGATTACATTCGAACATTTCAGGGGTAGTTTGTGTATGTGGGTCTGTAGAAATAGGGGGGGATAATTTAGAAGTGGCTCAACCAAATTAATAAAACACGCGGATAGATGGGTTGTGGGAGTCCTAACATTGGTAATAGAGTGTAAGTGTAACTGAAATGTGTGTAATTGTATGATGATGTAATCGTTTTAAGAATGTGGTGGGTAGTGTAAATGTGATAAAAAATGTGTGTGTTGTTTTCCTGTATGTAAGAATGGATGTTTATTTCATTTGAGGGCGATAAAGAAACTGATAGAAGAATTATTTTTTTTTGTTCTCTCCCTTTACGTATAATTAATAGAATAAAATTCCAAGAAAGCAATCATCGTTTTTTTATTATTATCTCATAATGAAAAATTATTTATTATCTTCACAAGTGGTTGTATAGATCTTTCTAGATGTAACATTTTTAACACATTTTCTTTAATTTTAATTTCAATTTCCTTCTTTTTCTTTCATATTTCCAATTTTCAATTTATATTTATATAATCCCTGTGGTAACCCTTTTCTTTGAATTCATTATTCCAATACCTTTCAAATCATTTTTCAGGACAGATCGGCTTTCTTTTTCCACCACACAAAATCCTCCGCTATCCCCCCCTCCAAAACAGTTCATTGCCATATACTCAAGTCATCACTAAACAATTATTATAGACAACAATTGACATCAAATTCCAAAAAAAAATTATTAAACACTATGAATGGAACAAATGGTACTCGTACACTTCCTAACGGAGACATCAAGAAGATCATCTCTCCAAAAGATTATGCAGCCAACCCTAAAGCTAAATTATCAGGTAGAATCCTTAATGTAATGACGTCATTACCAACTCAAATCATTAATAACATTGATAGTTCAACTGGTCAATATTATTGGGATGTTGAACCAGTAAGAGGTAATTCTGCCTTATATTCTTCACAAACTTTTTTGGAACAACATTCAGATTGGGAATCTCATTTAATTGCTTGGACTGGAGAAATTAATACCAGTAAAAACCCTAATTGGTTTGCTAATGGTGAAGGTATTGATGATGCTCTTTATTTGGATGATGAAGATAAGGTAGAATTGGAAGATAAATTACGTAAAGCTAATGGATCGGATAATATTCATCCAGTTTGGTTATTAAGACGTGATCAAAGTAGATGGAGAAAATATGCTGAAGATGTATTATGGCCGGTTTTCCATTATATTCAAGGACAACCTTCTGATGGGAAAGCTGAAGCTGAAGCTTGGCATGATTATGTTAAGTTTAATGAAGTTTATTTAAATAAAATTAAGTCAATTTATAAACCAGGTGATATTATTTGGATTCATGATTATTATTTATTGTTATTACCACAATTATTAAGAATGGAATTCCCGGATGCTTATATTGGATTATTTGTTCATGTCCCATTCCCATCTTCTGAATATTTTAGATGTCTTTCTAAAAGAGCACAATTATTAGATGGAATGGTTGGTGCTGATAAAATTGGGTTCCAATCGGAATCTTTCCAAAGACATTTCCTTTCTTGTTGTACTCGTGTATTAGGATTTGAAGTCACTTCAAATAAAGTATTTGCTTATGGAACTACTATCTCGGTTGAAACTTTACCAATTGGAATTGATACTAAAAAAATCGAACATGATGCATTTGATGATCAAGGGATTGAAAGTAAAGTAAACGCGTTGAAGAACATCTACAAGGGGAAGAAAATTATTGTAGGAAGAGATAGATTGGATAAAGTAAGAGGGGTTGTTCAAAAATTAGAAGCTTTCCAAATGTTTTTGGATATGTATCCAGAATGGAGAGAAAAAGTTGTATTGATTCAAGTTTCAAGTCCATTATTAACTCATTCCGGTAACGTTGAAAAGAAAGCTACTGAATTGATTAATCAAATCAATTCTCAATATGGTAATTTGAATCATACTCCTGTTTTACATTATCAAATGAGAATTGCCAAAGATGAATATTTAGCTTTGTTAAGAGTTGCTGATTTGGCTTTGATTACTTCTGTCAGAGATGGAATGAATACTACTTCTTTGGAATTTGTCATGTGTCAAAAGAACAATAATTCCCCATTAATCTTATCTGAATTCACCGGAACAGCATCTGTTCTTGATGAAGCTATTCTTGTTAATCCTTGGGATTCGGTTGGGATTGCCAAAACAATCAATGACGCCCTATTATTGAGTGACGAAGATAAATTAGAATTAGAACAACGATTATACAAAAAAGTAACTTCAAATACAATTCAAAATTGGACTTCAACATTCATTAGTAACATTATTGAACATTCCTTAGTTACTCATGTTAGCACTTATACTCCAGCCTTGAATAGACCACTTTTGTTGAAGAACTATATGAATTCTCAGAGAAGATTATTCTTATTTGATTATGACGGGACATTGACCCCAATTGTCAAAGATCCAGCATCGGCTATTCCATCAGATAAATTAAATCGTATTTTGGATATCTTAACTGCCGACCCTAAGAATCAAATCTGGATTATTTCAGGAAGAGATCAAGCATTTTTGGATAAATGGATGGGAACCAAAAACGTCGGTTTATCTGCCGAACATGGATGTTTTATCAAGGATATTGGTGAATCTGAATGGGTTAATCTCGCCGCATCATTCGATATGTCATGGCAAGCAAAAGTCGACGAGGTATATAAATCATACACCTCCAAAACACCCGGCTCACACATTGAAAGGAAGAAAGTCGCCTTGACCTGGCATTATCGTCGTGCTGATCCTGAATTGGGAACCTATCAAGCCGAGAAATGTCTCAAACAATTAAACGACACAATTGCCAAAGAATATGATATTGAAGTGATGGCAGGTAAGGCAAATATCGAAGTCAGACCTCGATTCCTCAACAAAGGAGAAATCGTCAAACGTTTGGTCCTTCATCCTCATGGAGCAAAACAAGATCTTCATTCTACTAATAATTGCCCTAAGGATGTCCCACCTGAACAATCCCCCGATTTTGTCTTATGTCTAGGAGATGATTTAACCGATGAAGATATGTTTAAATCCTTGAATGATATTGAAACCAGTTGGAAAGAAAAAGGAATCCCCAAGAATCGATTTGGGTCATATGGATTCTATCCGGTTGCAGTTGGACCTGCATCAAAGAAAACTGTGGCTAATGCTCATTTAACTGAACCTTCTCAGGTTTTGGAGACTTTAGGGTTATTGGCGGGACAAGTTAGTTTATTTGAAAGTCCTGGAACGGTGGATTTGGATGATAGAGGACATTTGGCAAATAGCGAATCTTCAGAACGGTCAAAGTCGGCGATCAAAGCGGTTCTGCTTCGTAGAAAGGCTAGTATTGAGGTGAATAAGAGTAATAGTGTTAAGATTACTGGTGTTGCGAAATAAGGCAATATATTATAAATTAATAAAAAAGGGACAATATTGATATGTATGAGTTTTTTGTTTTCTTCAATCTTGGAGGATATAATAGATAAATAACAGAAATAGGTTTTATATATAAAGACAATTTAACAAGCTTTATTTTGAAAAGAGCATGGCTTTTGTAGAAGTTTCAACTGAATCGATAGTAACCTCGGTTGAATAGCTTGAAACTCCGTTCTCTCTATTGTTGTAATCAGAGTTTAGATCTCATGTCTCGAGAATTTAAAATTGTTGGGTCAATAAATAAAAAAGAAATTTAACGTTTTTCGCAGCAATTTTTTTATTGGCGAGCTCGTTAACCGGCTTTGTGTGAAGATTTCGTTAACTCCGGAGATACCTGAAAAATTTCCTCATCGTTTAAACAACATGTGTATATAAACAATACTACCATCCCATTTCCAGTTCTTTTTAAAGTAAAAGTTTTACTGCCCGAGAAAAGTTAATATCAAATCACATTCAAGAATATGGGTATCTTAAACTGGGGATTTAGAAGTAACATCAAAATTCATCAATGTCAAGATGAAAAATCAATTCAATTAATAACCAAAAAAGATGATAAAATCAAATTCTCCGAATTTGTCAAGGATAATTTAAGCTTAATCGATGAATCCAAGAAATTATGGTTAAACCCACTTTTATTTAATGGGTCTTTACAAACCTTATATTATACATCTGCTGATAGTTCCAAAAAATTCCAAATTTATTATGGAAGAGAATTATTTACATATAATGATGGAGGGATTTGTTCATTAGATTGGGTGATCCCAAAACCGGAATCCAAGGATGAATTTAAGGAGTTGGTGAAGAAAACTTTACCTGAGGGGTTCCCAAAATTACATCCACGTACTAGATATTTCACTCCAGAAGAATTAGAATCCCGTCATGTCGTCGATGAAGAATCCACCACGCCAATAGTTGTGATTTTCCATGGATTAGCGGGGGGCAGTCATGAAGCTTTAATTCGTAATTTAGCAGAATCGATTCATAAGAATTGTAATGATTGGGATACTGTGGTTGTGAATAATCGTGGGTGTTGTCGTACAAAAATCACCACGGGTGCTTTGTTTAATGCTGGATCTACTGGAGATATTAGAGAAGTACTTGTTGATTTCAAAAAGAGATATCCTAATAGACCAATCTATGCTGTTGGATTTTCATTTGGTGCTGCCATGCTTTCGAATTTCTTAGGTGAGGAGGAGCAAGAAGAAGAAAAGGGTGGCTCTGGATTAGTTAAAGCAGCATGTGCGGTTGGATGTCCTTGGGATTTTGTTGATAGTGCTTATCATATTGAAAATTCCTGGACGGGGAAATATTTAATTAATCCAGCCATAACTCAATTTTTAATTAAATTAGTCAAGAATAATAGTGTAGAATTCAACAATCATAATCCTCATTTTGCTGAACAAAATGTTGTTGAACAAGCATCCAAAGCTAAAACCACTTGGCAATTTGATAATGCAATCACTTGTAAGACTACTCCATATGCTAATGCATTTGAATATTATCGAGAACTTTCTCCAGCTAGAAGACTTCAAAAGATTAAGACTCCATTATTAATGATTAATTCAACTGATGATCCTGCTGTAGGTACAAGATTACCTATTCTTGATGCAAAGACTAATCCTTATTTGTGTTTGGTTGAAACTGATTTAGGTGGACATTTAGGGTTTGTTAAGAGTAGTGGTGAATTCTGGTGTGTTGAAGTTGTTGAACAATTCTTTCAAAAGTTCCAAGAAGTTATTAATTAGATAGAGATTTTGTAAATAGATTTAATAGATTGCAAATTGATAATGTAAAGGATTAATTTATACGAAAAGTCTACCGGTAGTTGCCATAGTAACATAAACGCGTGAAAATTTCACTATGAATATTGAAAAAAGTTTAAATTTATTTTTTAGTTTAAATTATGATTATTAATTTTTTTTTAAACTTTGCTCCCCTAATCATCATCCAAATCATCCAAATCCCGTCATATAAAAAATAAAATTAGATAAGGACACATCGGGGGCGTATGGATGACTACTAACTAAAAAATCATTAAATAAATTTAAATCAATAAACTAAATTAAATTTCCTTGATTTCTTTATAACCTGTACTTTTTATATTATATGCAAAATATATTCAACAAGCAATATTAGTAGACTACGTCATAGCTGTTTTTTTGTGTTACGAGAGTACATGTACATCCTACAAGGACAAGACAATACAATACAATATAAATGTTTAGTCATTCTTTAGATATAATATTGTTTGATGTCAAATTAAATTCTCCTTATAAAAATTTAATTTTATTAAAAGGAAATGAATATGAAATAGAAACAGTTCCATTAATTGGTAGAGTGAAATTATCTTTAAATGAAGATGCTTATGTTAGAGCAATCCATTTATCACTTATTGGAGAATTTCATTATGATTTTTTACGAATGGATAAATTAGGTTATGTTTGTGATAGAAAATTTGATCATGTATGTGTATTAAATGTGGATTGGGCCAATTTATTGACTAGTGAACAAGGGGATATTATATTTGGGACATATGGAGATACTACTATGCCTTTTAATAAATTAAAATCAAGGAAACAGGATGGTTTATCAAGAACATTATCAAATCGATCATCTGTGTCTAACGTTGAATTGAATATACCGGAAAGTGGACTAGATGGAACACCATTCAAAGGAATAGATCCTGCATCTCTCCATCTGAATAGGTTCTTGTTACCAAAGGGTAATTATAGTTTACCATTTAGTGTGTATCTACCGACAAATGTCGCCGAGACTGTTGAAGGATTATCAGTGGCAAGTATTCAATATCGATTACATTGTGAAATTGAACGAGGAAGATTTGAAAAGAATCATTCAACTTCTAAATATTTAAGAATTGTTCGAACTTTACATCCTCAAAATTTTAATTTATGTGATACTTTAGAAGTTAACAATACTTGGCCAAATAAAGTTGAATATTCGGTAAAAGCTCATAAAAAAGGTATAGCTATTGGATCAACAATACCGATTGATATATTAATTATCCCCATGTTGAAAGGATTATCTTTAAAGGGAATCAAATGTAGTATTGTTCAACATTATCATGTAAAACTTGATGATATACGATCTCCAGAATTTGAGAAAATAATCGGATCAACCGATTTGGCAGTACCTAATATGGATGATCTTGAATATGAAAAATGGAGTTTCAAAACCTATTATAAGGTTCCAGAGCAATTAAAAATATTAACTCAAAGTTGTGATTGCAAAAATAGCATGATCGTCGTTAAACATAGATTAAAACTTGTCATTCAAATAAGAAATCCAGAAGGTCATGTAAGTGAATTAAGAATAAATTTGCCGATATTTGTTTATATTAGTGCAAATGCAGGTAGAGTAGTTGGAAGACACTTCACCATTGATGAACCATATGGAACTTTTCATCCTTGTGATAGTACTGAAGATGTTTTATTTAAACATCCAGAACACCCATCATTATCATCTTCTGCACGTAGTCCTCCCTCATCAACCGAAACTGATAACGAAGATGAAATTGATGATGTCGATCTTGCAAGTCTTGATAGACAAGAAGAAGCACCGCCATTATATCAAGAACACGTATACGATGAAGTATTTGATGCAGATAATCCTCCACAAAGTCCATTAATCAGAATACATTCTCCTGGAAATTCTCCAAGTCTTATGAATACAACAAATAGTTCGTGTGAGGATTTGTCGTCAGATAATGATTATCCCATATCCATGGTCAGTTCAATGGAAAGTGCATTTGGAGACGGGATGGTTCCTGCTCGTACCATTAATAGTTTAGATTTATCAAGAGTGCCGACATATCAAGAAGCTATTGAAGAAGATTATATTGAGGATAATTTACCTGATGTATTTGCTCCAATATATCCTGGAAATCCTCGCGATGATGCATTATCGAAAATACAGTCGGCACCTGTGGAAAATAATAATGCCAGAGGAAGACTGTTGTTTCGGGGCGGGAAAGATAAGCCTCGTCTGGCTTCGGAAACTAGAGATGGATATGATGTTAAGAGGAATGGGAGTGGGATTTTTGGACGGTTGTTTCATTTCGGAAAGAGTAAAAAAAAAGTAGCTCTGTAAATATTGATATAGACTTTTTTTGCAGTATATAGGACACAGATGAAATGATAGCAAAAAAAAATCTTTCTTATCAGTTTTAATACACTAACACAAATAGAAACCTTCATCTATAAAATGAATTATTCTGAAATGACTCCGCCCAATTGCCAGGGTGCAAATCCTCATCATAAGTTTTCAACATGTGACCCAAGATTGTTACAGAACACTCAATCTCCAAAACTTTCAAAAGATTCCGTCAGAGGTGATACAATTTTTAGAAAGCTAATTGGTCAAAACAGAAATTGCAGTCAAAACTCAGAACGACTTTCATTTGAATCTCGAACAATCCTGTTCGATAAATTAAGAGAATCAAACTCATTATATTTTCAAAATAATAGTATGACCCTTTCAACCATCCATAAATGTTTTTATGATCAACCACTAGAATTAGAAGCAATACGAAGACCAAGAGACTTATTCCCCACTCTTATGGATCACACACCCGATATTGAACATGTTAGAGATATAATCAAATCAGTCCGAGTTCAATTCAATCAAATTAAAGCCAGTGAGTTGAGAGATGGACAGCAACATAAATCAAAACCATTTGATTCTAAGGAGATGTTTTCTAATAAACCATTGCCTGGAAATTATGCAAAAGCGTCTGTGTTTGGTAAGCGGAAGAATAAGCTGAGAAGAATCCCTGCATCTATGAAGTTGATGTCTATAAATTCATACTTGGTTGAAAATTCAATTGGTGAAGACGGTTTAGATCAAAAGGAAGTTCAATTGAAAATTGATAATATTAAAGGAGAAATTAAAAAGTTAGAAGTTGAAATTAGAGAAGATCCTTTGAATGAAGATTTTGCATTAAAGAAAAGACAATTGAAGAAGGAATTGGACGAACTTTTGAAGAAGAAAATGAAATTGTTAATTTGAATTAAAAAAAATTGCAGCAATTTGCGAATTGCAACCACAAAAAGAAACAAATTATTTTTTTCCTGTTGACAAATTATTTTGTTTTGTTTTGTTTTTTTTGTTTACATTTTTAGTTTTTTGGTCTCCAAATTGAATTCAACAACTTTTACATTTAAATTCAATGGAAAACATGACAAGTGAGAATAGGAGTATATTTGATAGATACAATGTTAACTACATACGAAACATTCAACATATTGAAAAAGCTTCAGTTAATAATAAAACTCTGATCGACAAAAGAAGACAGAAACGAAGACCACTTCAAGACATCACTTCCTCCAGCATAAATAAGAAACAACAACTACCTCACCACAAGAAAAAGAATGCCATTATCAACACCAAGAGTTTGATTTCTCAATTTAATAAACCTTCTAATCAATCAAAATCAAAGAAAATTTTATTTGAAGTGAAATCCTTCTTATCTGATGAATTTACTGTTTTAGAGAATCGAGGACTAAATTATAATTTTCAAGATTTCTTCCAGGAAATAAATTCAGCTTCTAAATCTATAGATTTGTCAAATCCTATTGTTGGTAAATGTATGAAAGATTGGAAAACAGTAGCCAATTGGTTCAAGTTTCATAAATATGAGTTTGAAGTTCAACATAGTCCTGAAGCTAAACCGCCAACTTCCAATCAATTACCAGAGATAGTACAGAGTGAAGACAAAAGTATTATCCAAACTTTGGAAGACACTCGTTACATTAGACCAATCTTTCGTGAGACTGGGACCATACCGACGCACAAAGTTATGAAAATCACAGAGTCAGGAAAATTCATGTATACTGCAATACTATTAGACATTCAAAAGTCCTCAGAAGTAGTGGTATTATTGTGTAGAATAAATCCAAAGATTGAAGTTAAAGCAGGGGATGATATTAAGTTAGATTCACTATGTTATACGCAGATGGTAGATAATACTCCATTGAATGCCTATATGAGATGGGAACTTGTAAAATAGGTTTTGCATTGAGTTTATAGTAATGGCTAATGAATGAGATTATGACAAAAATATTAAGCAGCTTGTAGGAGGGCAAGTATTGTATGTAGAAATATAACAATTGACGACACTACTCTTAGCAATCTCACGAGTTTCCTCACTCTTTTTTTTTTGCAACCAAATTTTACTGGGATGACCTTACAGTTCTGAGCACATGCTGTGAATTTAGGACGCGTGCTTAGGCAACCAGGAGTTTCGCATAGCTAAATATCGAGTATACTTGATCATAAAAATAACCTTCCACTGTCATTTCATGCACTATGATGCGAGAGTTGAGATCTAGTTCAGGCAACGGTTACTCGTGTGACCGCGAATTCTGAAAAGTTTCAATTGAATTCTTTGATGTTACACTATCATTATAATTTATAGAAGAATGCTGGGAGGTGGGAGCAGGGTTTGACCAGGTTTGATATAAGGTTTTATTTCATCAAACCTAAGGTTATTTGCACTTCCAGGAGAGAAGTCTATGAACAAACATGACGAAGTCACGATGGCGGAAAAACAAATATGTAGAGGGCTGTCCAATGAAGTATATACGGATCCCCTGGTAGTTTCTTAATCCCTAGCTTTTTCAATCAGATCCTCATGAGATGTAAATGCAGAGAAAATTCCAAATAAATCTAGCCACCATCAGATGAATACTGCCAAGAATCTTTCAAATCAGCACCAAAAACTTTATTAATATTTGTGGTGAAAGCTACTGTTCTCGCTTCATTTTTGTCCAAGCCAACCAACGTGCTTATTGCATTTAAGGGTATGGGAAGGACGATGGCAAGCTCAGGAGACAACTCGTGATGGGGTATCATTTCCAAAAAAAACATTGTAAAATATTTTTCTGATGAACTTAAGGTACGAAACAAAATCTAGCAGAGGCTGTATCGAAAAAATAATGCATTAGCCGAAATTGCTGTGATTGCCACATTGTTCAGGCGAGGCTCACCTTGCCAATTGTTTACTAAAACTTAAAGAGAGTGATTCTTTGACATTCTTTCGATTCCAGAAAATTCAGACAAAACCTCATTGAATGCTCTTGATCATTTCATATTCGGTGCCCAGATTTTCGGTGGCTAAGAATCTTGCCCAGACTCATCGCGATGAACACGTAAAAGCCTAATTTTTCACTATTAAAAGTAAAACCAAGATTTCCTTCAAGAATTTATTATAAGTAAAATCAAAAATGTAAATTTATCAATTATCACTCTACAATTCTTTCCGCTCCAGCTTACTACCCACATTTGCATCAATAAACAATGTCCTATCATATTAGAAGGTCTCGGGCTATCATATTCATATTCGTGCTAACGATAACCATTTTGCTGGGATTTCTTTTCTGGAATCAAGATTATGTACAAAACTATCAGGATAATTTCACCAGGAGAATACGGCCCCGTGCATTTGCCCCAAGTCAATTTGATACCAAACTAGAAGAAATCCTAAATTACCGAGATATAAAAGGAGTTGACATTAGAACTCCAGACAGCTTCAATAATATTGCTTTACCATCTACATTTCCAGATTATCAACCATTTGATGCACGATATACGTTTGCCATATTATTGCATTATCTTGAGAGATATTATCTAGAAGAACTACCTGGTTTTCATTGGGCAGATTTCACAAGTATGGAACCATTGGAAAGGTATCTTTTTAATGAGAAACTGAGATGTTCAGATTTTGATATTCGATCAACGGACAAAGAAAGGAATTCCAAGGAAGATAGAAAAGATCCAAACCTATATTGTATTGATGATGCTGATATACCGAACTTAATTGAAACTTCGAAAGATGAAGAATTGGTTAAGAATTTGAAATATATTCAAGAACAAAAGTATTCAACTGGATTTCATGTATTTGCGAATTCTGGAAGACAGTCCTTTGAATTTCGTCCTCTAATAGGTAGATCCTATCTATACGATTTCATGCCATCGCCAAAATCATTGATTCTCTTATTTCCTGAGTTTAAAGCATTTCAAATTGACATCAACCAAGACAAGAAATTGAAATTGGTCCAATACGCTGATGTAGTAGAGAGATCTATAAATGTTAAGGATCAAATTGTTACCTTCATGAAGACTTTGCCTATAAAAGCTAATCCCATGAATTATAGTATTGAATTGAATCATGAGGAATTTGTTGATAAATCGCCCCAGATAATAGAAAGCTTAGAAAGCTCCGAAGAACCATTATCACAGAGAGATCAGTTATATCTAGATAGTTTGAAATTTTCCACAACGATTGAAAAACCTTATAAATACTTCTCTGAGGCTTCAATAATTAAATCGCAAAGGGGTTTTGCTGACGGTATGCACTATGATTGGAGATTCTATAACGGAAATGTAAGGGAAAGTCCGAAGAATGATATGTCTGTTCATGGATTATTAAAGGCGATGTTTAAGTTAGCAAATGCGTATGATATAAAATGTTGGATTGCACATGGGTCATTGCTATCTTGGTATTGGGATGGTATGAAATTCCCTTGGGATGGAGATGTTGATATTACAATGCCAATTGATGAATTACACCACTTGACTAGACAGTTTAACCAGAGTCTAATTGTTGATTTTGGGAATGATATCGATCTGCAAATCCGTTACGGGCGATACTTTTTGGATTCTTCAACGTTTATTAGTAGAAGAACGAAAGAAAACGGAAGGAATAATATTGATGCAAGACTAGTTGATGTCGATACTGGTATTTATATTGACATAACTGGTTTAGCGTTGAGTAATTCTAGATCTCGTGACAGGTACGACTTTTTGTTAAAGTCAACCAAATATGAACGTGATTCCGTTGGAAATATTAAAGATAAGTCGGTCACTGAATATGATGTCAATGAACATTTGCAAGCTTACAATTGTAAAAATAATATGTTTTTCACATTAAAAGAACTATCGCCAATCATGTTATCTTTGTTTGATGGAGAATACACATATGTCCCAAATCAAATATCGACTATATTAATGAATGAATTTACATCAAATTCAATTATTAAAACAAAATACCGGGATTATACATATGTCCCAATATTAAGACTCTGGGTAAAAACCACTATTCTTTATGATATCTTAGCTGTAGACAATAAAGCCAAGGAAAAGATGAAAAAGGAGAATGTTGTTCCCGAACTAAATGAAGATCAATGTTTGAAATTATTACAAAAGAAGAAGAATATACTAGTAGAATATTTATTAACTAGAAGGATGACTGCCTTCCATGATCAAGAAATTAAAATGATCCTACAAGATGATTCTACGGAATCGCTAAACTACGAAGAGGGAACTTTGATCGACAATACATCCGTGCTTAGAGCCGATTTGTTTACCTGGACTTCTCAGAAGCAAAGCAATAGTTATGGCAAGGCTTGGAAGAGAGTAAACAAATTAATTAACGAATATGAAAAGAAAGGTAAGAAGATGCATAAAGTAATACTTGGCAAAGATGTCATTCCAGATATAGTAGAGGAACCTGAAGAGAAGAAAGAAAAAGACGAAGGGGCAGAACCGAAGAAGAATGAAAAAGACGAGAAGGCAGAGGACGTTGCGAATAAAGATAAAGTCAATAAGATCCCACCCGAGCCCGACCAAAAGAAGCGATAATCAGTAATTGCAAGTTCATGCAGAAAGCTATTAGAAAGCTATTAAGGGAGTAAATTGAGAGAATATGATTGAAAGTTGTAGGGACCGAACTCTGTTCACATTGGTCGAATTATGATCACAGAGTCAAGCAACGCAAGTGGTAAAAATTATATGAAACCAAGCTACCCGGCTATCCCTAACTAGAGTAGTAGTTTCTTAGTTTAATAATTCGGTCTGTCGGGAAGCGTAGCTAATTAGTATACATTTTCAATCCTTGAGTTTCTGCCACTAATTATTTTTAGTTTTTTATGTATTCTAGTTGTTTAACGTTACCAAGAGCGTTATGTATACTAACATTAGTAGATATTATAATTTTTAATCAACAATAGATAGTTTCGCTTATCTTATAACTTATTGTGTCCCAGATACTGACATACTCTAGATTACTTAAGTGAATAAATAGGACCACTAAAGTGACCGGAAGTTCTCTATTTTGTATGAAAAAGTCACATGATTTCCAAGTGATTTTCACATGATTGAAAATACGGTCTTTTCCCAGCATGGACCGAGAACCGAATTTGCAACCATTTCAAGTAGGCTTTCCTGTTGAGAATCTTTTACAAGAGCCTTTTACAATCATAAAATAAATGATATAAAGTCGTTAATACTCATGGATAGAATCTCAATGAGATTTTGTTAGGATTCAATACTTTATACTCCTAGTACACTTTTGTACATATATTTGTGGAAATATTGAATAAAAGTGACATTTTACACAGAAAAATCATTTTAGGTAACTACTGTAGAACAGAATTTTCCAATGATAGATCATAGAGGGTTATCCAACTCGGCACATCGATCCACATAGGATACCCTTAAACTTAATCGGATACAACCACAAATCAATACTTTTTGGTTTTCATGTTTCTTACATTCTGGTGCGTCAACCATACGACAGGTCATAATTCCAAAGCTCGTATGATCTATATAGAAAGGCTCTATCCCAAAGCATTCGATATCCACGCATGGTCACCTCACAGTCTGCGAAAGGAAGGAATTTAAGTGTACCGCAGTTATAATTAGCGTTTATACGCCTCTCCAAACTAGAAATTTAATACCCAACGATAAACAATTTCAGCCACCGAAGCTCATTTAGACCTCAGCCGTAAATGACCACGAATACTGTACAGGTGGTTCTCTAAATATGAGTTTGTGCACCAAACAAAAAAGGACTAATGAAATGGGGTTAAATTCCATAGAAATAAAAATTCCGCGCTTGTTACCCAAACATACTTAATTCGTTTGGATTCGCATCTTGTGACCATTGTCTGGATATAAAAATATCGATTTCAAAAGATAATATTAAGTTTCCGATGTGATGTATCTGAGAGGAATGGAACGCTGTACATTCCTCAACCTTAAATTATTATTCAATATCTTACAAGGCAAATTCCAGGCACAAAGTCTAAAAAAATATGGTTTTGTACTTCATCAATTGTTTATTTCCAATTTGAAACATAGAGTTTTCTGCTGCTAAAAATACCCCAAAAATCGCAGATTTTTTTGGGCAAATACCGTTTAATGAAACTCACACATACTCATTTATACAAGAATAAGGCATAATTGTTCAGTTGATTCAAATACTTATCAACCATTCAAACCGATGAAGACCTCCCAACGGTTTACCATGAAACAGAATGACCCCAGGCTGTGTTAGGGGAAAGGAAGGTGAGCTCTTGCAGCATCCATCACTGCTTGCAGGAGCCTGCTTTTGCACCTTTTTACTGGTTAAAGCTTAAATTTGTATGTACCGTACAACCCAATAATGCTTATTTTTGAGCAACATAAATACGTGTCAATATCCGCTCCGCTTCAATTCTTGATCTTTGGGGACTTTCTATTATTCATTTTCTACGACAGACAATGTCTTTTCATTTCAGAAGATCTAGGATTATACTATTAGCAATAGTCCTCATTGCAACAATTTCGCTAAAGTATAGCTTTTGGGACCAACATTATATAGGAGAATATCCAGATAATTTCACCAAAAGAATAAGGCCTAGGGCATTTAATCCAAGTCAATTTGATACCAGACTAGAAGAAATCCTTAGTAGTGTAGATGTAAAGGGCGTCAGCATTAAAACTCCCGAGGACTTCCACAATATTGCGATACCTTCTACATTTCCAGATTATCAACCATTTGATGCAAGGTTTACGTTTTCCATATTATTGCATTTCCTAGAGAGGTACGAGCTTGATGAACTACCTGGATTCCATTGGGCCGATTTCACAAGTATGGAATCATTGGAAAAGTATCTTTTCAGTATTAAACTGTCTTGCGCTGATTTTGATATTAGAACACAGAATCTAACAACGGATGCCAAGGAAGACAGGAGGAATCCAAACAGATACTGCATTGATGATACCGATATACCAAAATTACTTGAAACTTCAAAAGATGGGGAATTAGTCAAAAATTTGAAATATATTCAAGAGCAAACTTTTTCGACTGGATTTCATATATTTACGAATTGTGGCAGACAGTCCTTTGAGTTTCGTCCTATAATAGGTAGGTCTTATATCTATGATTTCATGCCATCGCCAAAATCATTGATTCTCTTATTTCCCGAGTTTAAAGCATTTCAAATTGACATCAACCAAGACAAGAAATTGAAATTGGTCCAATACGCTGATGTGGTAGAGAGATCTATAAATGCCAAGGATCAAATTATTAGTTTCATGAAGGCTTTGCCTATAAAAACCAACCCCATGCATTATAATATTGAATTGAATCATGATGAATTTATTGACAAATCACCCGAAATAATTGAACACCTAGAAGCCTCCGATGAACCATTATCACAAAGAGATCAATTGTATTTAGAAGGATTGAAGTTTTCCAATGCAATCGATAAACCTTATAAATTTTTCTCCGAAGCCTCGATACTTAAATCGCAAAATGGGTTTTCGTCGGGGATGCATTATGACTGGAGATTTTTTAATGGGAATATAGTGAATTCTCCAAAGAATGATATGTCTATTCATGGATTATTGAAGGCGATGTTCAAACTAGCAAATGCGTATGATATCAAATGTTGGATTGCACATGGGTCATTGTTATCCTGGTACTGGGATGGTATGAAATTCCCTTGGGATGGAGATGTTGATATTACAATGCCAATTGATGAATTACACCACTTGACTAGACAGTTTAACCAGAGTCTAATTGTTGATTTTGGGAATGATATCGATCTGCAAATCCGTTACGGGCGATACTTTTTGGATTCGTCAGCTTTTATTAGTAGAAGAACGAAAGAAAACGGAAGGAATAATATTGATGCACGGCTAATTGATATCGATACTGGCATTTATATTGACATAACTGGATTAGCGGTAACGTCAGCTAAAGCTCCTGACCGGTACGATTATTTATTAAAATCAACTGAATACGAGCGCGACTCTGAGAGAAATATCAAGGATACGTCAGTTACTGAATACGATGTCAATACATTCTTGCAAGCTTATAATTGCAAAAATAACCAATTCTTCAGGCTAAAAGAATTAAGCCCTTTAATGCTATCTTTATTTGATGGAGAATTCACATATGTCCCGAATCAAATATCTAATATTTTAATCAGCAAGTTTTCTCCGAAATCAATTACCAAAACACAATATAAAGACTACACCTATGTTCCAATATTGCGACTTTGGTTGAAAACTGAAGTACTTTATGATTTCTTAGCAGCTACTACAAAACGAACCAAGAAAGAGATGAAAGATAAGAAGGTCGTTCCTGAGTTGAATGAAGACCAATGCTTGGAATTACTAAGAACAAAAACTGATATCCTAGCAGAATATGTAAGAACCAGAAGGATGACCGCATTCCATGATGAAGAGATTAAGATGTTGCTACAGGATGAATCTACTGAATTGTTAAATTATGAAGAAGGTACATTGATCGATAATACCGCTGTGTTCAGACCAGATATGTTTACGTGGGCAACTTTAAAGGAAAGAAACACTTACGACAAGGTTTGGAAGCGAGTGAATAAATTACTCAACGAATATGAAAAGAAAGGGAAAAAGGCACTGAAAGTAATTCTTGGGGCGGATGTCATTCCAAAGGAAAAGCTACCAGAAGACGACAACAATCCAGAGCAGAATAAACTCAAAAGCAACGGAGAAAACGCAATACAAAAGCAACAGCCAGTAAAGATGAGCGAAGATCCAATAAAAGACGATCCGAATCTTAAGGTCAAAGAAAATATGGGTTAACCATTTGCTGTAGGAAAATGGGAGCTAAGTAGAAGGTTCAAGACCTAGGTGAATCTGGTAAGTCGCCTAAACTTATTAACGTGCTTGAAGAATTTTCCAAGGCTTTTGAAGGTGCAGGCAAAATAAAGGAGCTTATGAACTCAGACAAGTTACTAGAAGAAGCGGAATTGTAGGTATCCACTGATAAAGCTACGAAGGTTGTAAGAATAGGTTAGAAAAAGAGCCGAGAGAGTACAAGATGGGCGGTATTTGAACTGAATGTTTGCTACTTACAATCCCTCAGTTCAGAGTTTAGGGCGTGCTTTGTGTATAGTGTAGTTGTATAGATAGTTCAGTTTCGTTCAACCATAATTGGACATTCAATTAGAATTCATAAAGGAACATCGTAATTAGTTTCAGGCATTACTGGTAACACCACACATGTTTCGGAGACTTTGAGGAATCAAGCTAGTAAGTTCAGAGAGCGACATGTGAACTATACCGAGAACGTATATGCACTACTTAAAATGCAGAATAGAAGTTAATCTCCACAACTATTAAAGCTCTCGCGGTACCAGAAATTCCAGACCAAGAGGCTCCGAAGTGCCGCTAGATATATATATGCCTTCTCGTTGGAAATTGATGCTCAAATTTGACTCTATCGATCGAATAAATTGGTTGCCAAAAAAATCATTCTCTTTCCAAGTTTTATCAGAAGAGCAAAATGTAGTTTCTCGTT